AAGACACCAAAAGGTTGCGAATTCAATCCCCAGTCGGGGCGTGGACATTGATGTCTCTCCCTCTGTTTCCCAACCATTCCCCCCTCTCTAAAATCAATAAACATACCCTCAGGTGAGAATTTTTTTAAATAAAATTTTCAACTGGAAGACATGGAACAGTTTGCAGTATATCATTCAGTTTAAAAGCACGGCACAGAATTGTATATACACTTTGATCTCTGATGCAAAACCTGGAGTGAAGCAGACCAAAATGTCTGCAGCAGTGCCGTGGGCCCAGAAGCCCCCCGAGCACCAACCACCAGCAGGGTCTTCACTGAGCATCATGACAGAGTGGCTCACACGTGTGGGGGAGAAACAGAATAGACACACAAACATGGGGACCTGGGATGCATGGCATCATGGGAAGGGAGTTGCTCTATGGGTCTAAAGCTGCAGAGCAGAGCTCAAACCCCTGAGGAGAAGTATTTTTTCACTGGATTTGGGGGAGGCAGAGACCACGTGAACCAGCCCAACGGTGCAAACAAAGCCCTGCTGGGGAGGACCAGATGGCCACACAGTCCAGCTTGGCCCTGCAGGAGACAGGAGAGAATGGAGAGGCCTTGTTTTCATAATTATTTTTTTGAATAACAGCATTTGCTATATTACCTTTCAATTTTATTTTTAACAAAATTGTAAATGTAGATGGTTTTCAAGTCAAAGAATTCCACAAAATTTATCATGAAAACAGTGTCCCCTCCCACAGGCATCTCTCTTGGTTCTTCTCTCCTCTTTTGGTATTTCTCTCCACATTTTAATTCCCAGGTTCAGTTCGTTCTTCTTGACTTTACAGTCTGTGTCATCCACTAACTTCTGACTATGAACATGAAATTAACCCTCAGAGCCACCCACACACCTCTGCCCACTCTGTTCTGACCATCAGTTGCTAGTACGCACTGTCAGGACATGCACATGGAAGCTCTGTGACCTTATTCCTTCGCCTGCTGCATCTCCCTTCTTGTGCTTCCTAGAGTTAACAAGGGTTTGCTGAGTGTCCTGTGTACTTATGTCAATTTGTCTCCAAACACTTGGCCAGGCATCACTCAAACATAGCAGGGAACAACAGCCTGATCTAATCACACACATCCAGCAGTCCATCCCAGGTTTCCAGTGTTGTGGGGCCATTAGGGCAGGAGCTAGCTCCACTTTCTGTTTAGAACTGCCCCCCCCCCCCCACCAACCGCTGTGCCCAAAGACTCCAGTCCACCCCCAGAGGAGGAACCTGCAGTCTTCAACCAGGGTGGGAAAGGATTCTCAGGCTTGCTGGGGGAGGGGGCTGAGAGTCTGACTGCTTCTTAAACAGGCTTTCCACTAATTTCCTACTTCAGCCCTATTTTCATTGCTGCCTCCTTCCACCCCTCTCCCTCCACCCCATTTTCAGAATGAGTCCTGAGACCTGGTGGAGGGGTAACTGTCTGCAGTGCAGTATATTCATCTCCCAGGCCTCCCAACATATATATATACTCATACATGCACGTGTGTGCGCCTCTCAGCTTTTTGTTTTTCAGATCTGCTAGATCCCTCTGACCACCTACTTTCCCAAATTTCCAAATTCTGTCACCTTCTCTCTTAATATCTTGGCAGGTTGTGTGCCCTTTTAGTGGGCTTTTAAAAGAAGCAGAGGTCACTGTAAATTTAATCTCCCACTCTGACTGAAAATCAAGGGAGGAATTTTTTAATTAATTTTAAGATGGGAGCTATCAAGTCATCCTGGATACTAACAGAGGTGATCTGTCAGGAAGAAGAAGTTGGGGTCCAGGAGTGAGGTGGCACAACTGAGGCAGCAGCAAGTCCCTAAGTAACAGAGCGAGGGCCTGTCCTGGGATGCAGGGAGCATCAAGTGGAGGGGCGGGCTGGCAGCATTCCAAATGGGAAAGAGGCGCAGTACCGGCTGAGACTAAAATCTGAGGAAGGAAGATCGGAAGTGTAAGCATGGCCTCAGATAAAAGCAAACCCACCAGGGATGTGTGGCCAGAGTCGGGGTGGGGATGGAAGCTGTGCCAAGTCCCTTGGCCAGTCTGCATGGCTGCATGGCTGCATGGTCTCCCAGCACAATACTGTGCTGTTATTGCGCCTAGTGGACACTCAACCGCATGAAGGAGTCAGGGGTGTTTATGAGAAAATGATCGCAGGGCTACCCTGTGAACTGCATGCAGACTATGTGTGGCAGGGTCACCAAAGTCGCAGCAGGAAGGGGGCCTCTAAAGAAAAAGTCCTGCCCAGCAAGCTCATTGCCATAGTCCTCCTATCTAGGTGAGTTTTAAAGTTATGTTTTGATGTGCCAAATTTCCCAAGTCTATAGTGAAAGTTATTATCTTAATGTAATGCAGGAAAAAAGCTGTGAAAAGCAAATAACCAATTCAGTATTACAAAGACTAAAAGACTTCAAAGTAAATAAAAATGTCAACAAAGTTCCTGTTAACATTATCTCTTAATTTCCTGATCTTAGTGTAGCCTAATGCCCAGGCCTGAGCTGGGCAAGGAGGGGTCTCTACCACCAGCCAGCTCTGGTGGTAGAGACCCCAATTCCCCTCTGCCTAACAAAGCGGGCTTTCAGGAGCCCCAGCTTTATCTAAGAAGAGGCATCACACTGAGGCCAGAAGCCCATCTTCAGCTTCACTAAGTCAGACTGCCCTTCGCTTCAGTCTAAGGAAGTGTGGAAAGTTCTCAGAGACTTGAAAATGGAAATCCAAGTTCTTCCAAACCACCAGTTCCCCTGGGCATCACCCACTGCAGATGAACTCCATACTGGCTCATCACAGCCCCAGGAATCCCACTGAAAGACACTGTAGGACTCAACCAGGATTGCCAAGGGAAGCAGAACCATTTCTGTTCCAACCAGATGAGTGTTCCTAACAGCTCCCTTCAAACCTGCAGAAGAGGCCACAGGTGCCCTATAAAAAGCTGGCTGCCTTCACTTAACCCAGCCTCAGGGAATTCCCAGATCCCGGCTACAGCCCCCTGGAACTGCAGTCTTGATGGCTCAAACACATTATTTGTCTCTGCCTTTCTTTATGGCGTAGAGCCAGCGGGCACTGTGCTGCGCCAACAGGGTGGGTAACTCAGACAGCCTGGCCCACCCAGGCATGCTTATTCATCTCCAGAACTGCAGTCAGTCCAAACTAGGGCGGAGGAATTTGGACAACACCAAAGTCTATGGGGAAAGAGGCCCAGCGTATCCGGGGCATTGTTTATATGCCTCAGTTCCAGGAGCCCTTCCCTTGGGGTTTCTGTGAAAATTAGATCCAGATTTGCACAATTACAATGTTGGTCCCAAGCCAGGAGGAATCTGGATGTTCTCTATGTAACAGCCTCAGTTTGAAAAAAAAAACAATCCGACGAAGATAGGAAAAAAAGACTACCTAGATCCCCACTCCCATAGTCAGCCCCCATTCCTGACATAGCAAGAGGCACTCAGGATGTCCCTATACGGCCCTGATGTGTCTCTGATATCCACTGACATCAGCTCCTGTTCCTGCTCCTTCACTCCTCTTGGGTCCAGCCACACTGACCTCCTTGCTGTTCCATGAACATGCCAGGCACATCGCCCAGAGCCTTTGCTCCATCTTCCCTGGGGCCTGGAGCCCTTCACCCTCCAACACCCACAGGGCTTGCTCTGTTCAATTGTTCCCTTCTCAGGGCCTGCACTGACTGCCCATTCAAAACTGCGCCCAGCACTCCCACAGCCTTCCCCGTTCTTCATTTCCTCCACAGCAGCATCACCACCCGACACACTGTTACTTACAACATTTGTTTTGTAACCCCCACAAGGACGTAAACTAAAGGTATTCTAGAAGAGTGCCTGGCACATCACAGACATTCTACCAATACTTGCTGAATAAAGGAAAGAACAAACAAGGTCTTTGTTCAAACAATTTGTTAAGTAAGAATGATCCTCTTCAAATGTTCAGGATTAGGTTAACCAACAGCCCTAAATACATATGTGCACATGCTCCCAACTCTTGCCACCATCTCCCAAGGGGGCTGCTGATGAAGTCACCGTCTTGCTGCAGATGACAGGCCCTGGAAGGTCAGTGGGCTGTGCCTGTATTGCCCTTCCACCAGAATGGCTAAGCTTAGCACTCCATGGTGGCCCTTTGGGGCTGCCATCGAAACCACTCAATGAGAAGGGCAGACACTGAGTTCAGGGACCACCTCACAGCATCCAGGCAGCTCCCACTTATCCTACCCTCATGAATCAGACTCAGGCTAATGAAGTGAGAAGCCTTGGATCAAATCCTAGTCTCATCACTGGCCGCCACGGTGTCGTCACTTCCTTGAACCTTGGAAGTGAGTAGAAGAGTACCTACTTCGCAGGGCACATGGGGACTAAGCAAGACATTTAGACCAGCATAGCTGACACAAATCAGGCATTTCATAAAAATTAGCTGCTCATTTGTATTCCATGCAAGGCTGCTGAAAACTTTTAGAAAATATTAAGTTTTAGAAAAACAGATCTCTTAAGGATAAATTTAAAAGGAGTCATTTCAAGGTGGTTTTGCAAAACTGGAGTCACAGACACAAAGAGGTGTCCACATGGCCTGGACACGTCATCATGGGCACAGAGCACACTCATCACTACTGGCTGGTGAGCACCACTGGAGCATGAGAAAAAGGCATGTGTCTGTGCAGCGCACACTAACAACTGGCCTCAGGTCCACTACTGGACAGTTTGGTCAGGTTAACTTTGGAGAAGAAAGGTTAATGGAAAAGGAGAAAGCAACCTCTTTTTCAATTTTGGTCCTACAAAAGCCAGACAGAAAATTGTGCATATCGCTGGCACTGCTGTTGCACCCTGACTCATTAACAGGTCCCTCATGTGACACAAAACCAAGCCATAAGGAAGGGCAGCAAGACATGTGGCTTCAGGTGCAAACAAGATTTTAAAAAATCAATTGCTGTAGAAAGAATCACTCAATTAAAGACATACCCTCTATAAAGGCATTTTAAGAACCACTACTTACATGGAACCATGTGAAGATCTTCTCTCTCTGGACACAGCCCTGTAAATAGGTTAAAAAATGATTATAATTGAAAATCACAGGTAGAAAATAACACAAAGAATGTTCTATCACCTTAGACATCAGGCTTCATCACACCAAAGTAATTTACTTAAAAAATGTAATCATAAATCATGTTTGGAAAGTCAAAGCAGTTTTCCAGGGAAGGAATCCCATAAAGAGTAGTTATTTGAAACTGAGTCTAGAACTTAAAAAGTACCAATGAATGCTCAGAACCCTAGACTGCCCTAAACTGTGACCAGACCAAGGAGGCCTGCCTGTGCAAAGACTTCAATGGTATATAAACGATGTTACTGGAGACTCCTTCTGGCAGTGCAAAAGCCTCAGTCTGAAGAGGATGGAGGTATCAGAAACTGCCCAAGAACGACATCCATTTCCACCCATGACAGAAGAAGAGGGACTGACTCTCCTGTCTCAAACAGTTGAGAAACAGACAAAAGACCTGAGACAGCGTGTTCAGACACAGGCAAAACAGGCATCATGGGACAATGATCGCTGAGGGAAAGAAAAAATGTGATGCATCCTGATCACACAGACTGCAACATGGGGAGCTTGCAGGCTACAGTGCAGAAGAGGGGCCCAGGCAAAGCAAGCGGAGTCCTAAAAGGAAGAAACAGCATTGAGATTCAGGGAGACAATGACAGAATGAGCAGGGCAGAGTACCGGAAAGGAGAACACCGCACAGAGAAATGTTCCAGAGACCTGTGGGGTACGGGGTGGTATGTCACCTCAGTCTTCACCCGAACCATGTATCAGCACAAGTGAGTGAGCAAACTATTTGCAATCAGAGAGAGCCAACAGAAAGAAGCAGGACAACAGAACTTGTAGTGCCCACTGCTCTAGAAGTGTATCATTCCTGAGCTCCTGGAAGAGTGTCGCCTCAGCAGCAAAGTCACATTAGCACCAGACGAAACTGGTGTACCAAACTAAGAGCTGTCTAACAATGTCCAACAGCAAGCCACCAAAAGATCTAAACTTTCTAACTCAAATGGATTCTAACAAGAAAGTTTAAAATATTTAAAAGAATACAGAACCCAACAACATAAATTGCACTATATCTTCCACCTATTCAAAAAATAATAAGCATGCAAAAAAAATCTCATGAGAACAGCTGATCAATAAGAAAATGATTCAGACATCACACACAAAAATAATTAGTGTACAAGGTCCTTAAAATAGCTATTATAAATGCACTGTATATGTTTAAGAAAATAGAGGAAAAGATTACATGCTATGGAGACATAAAAAGTATTTTAAAAGACCCAAATCAAACATCTAGAAATAAAAAAATTACATATCAGAGGTGAAAAATACACTGGATGGGATTAATGTTACATTAGTCAAAAGGAAAGATTAGTCAACAGGCAGACAAAACAATATGTGCAGATAAAAGCTATCTAAAATGAAAGACCCCTCTTCCCTAAAACAAAGAAAACGAATATACATGTAATTGAGGACTTAAGAGTGGAGTCCAGGTTGAGACAAAAATATATTTAAAGAAATAATACAAAAATTGATTAAAAATTATGAACCTATACATCCAAAAGTCAATAAATCCCAAGCAGAAAAAACACGAAGGAAATTAAACCAAGGCATATCATAATCAATTTACCTAAAGAGAAAAACTTAAAAGCAGCCAGTGAATAAAGAACCATGGTGCTCACTTTGGCAGCATATTTACTAAAACTGGAACAATATGGAGGAGATTAGCATGGCCCCTGCATAAGGATGACATGCAAATTCATGAAGTGTTCATATTTTTGATATTTTTTAAATAAAAAAACAGCTTGCATCCTAGCTACTTACTGAAGGTCCCACAATGTTGCATTCTAATCTTTGAGGTAGACAGTCTTAACTCCACTTAAAATACGAGATGACCTAGGATGAGGGAGGTTAGATGGCCTGTTTAAGGTTGATCATCCCAGGATGGGAGTTTATGTTTAAAACAGTGGTCCTCTCTCCTGCAAACTCACACCACCTAGAGATCTTCTGTTTTTCTCAGAGTAGCTGGAATCGAAGGGGATATTAGGAAGAGAGGTTCACTGCAAGTGCTCATCCCCACCTCCATACTCCACCTTCACTGTCAGGGCTAAAGTGGAGATCCAGTGAGGTCCAGCAGCGCACAGAAAGTTCTAGCACTCAATACCTTCCCAGCCACTTCAAGCCCTGACTCTACCAGCAGTCTTGAGGGGCGAAGCCAGATGCCTTATCACTTGATGACATATTTCTTCCTGCCTGAGATTGTGAAAAACATAAAAATATGTAAAGAAACATTGTTTAGATATTAAACATACTGCCTACAGACACAGAAATAAATAAATAAATAAATCATGCACAGAGAAACAAACACAGACAGGGGGACAGAGGACTTTTCAGAAACAATGCGAGCCAGAAATTAATGAAATTATATCTCCAAAGTAATGAAAGAAAAAAAACTGTCAACCTGAAAGTACCATACGTAGTAGAAATGACTTTCAAATACAAAGGTAAAATAAAGACTTTTTCCAACAGACAAAAGCTAAAATAATTTATGTCCAACATACCTGAACTAGGAAAAACATCACACAAAAAGAAAATAATATCAGAAGATAATCTTGACTTACAAATAAGAAATAAAAAGCACTGGAAACAAAGTTCATGGATAAACAGAAATGTGTATTTCCTTAATTTTTAAGGTTATTTTAAAAGATAATAGACCATTCAATGCAAAAATAATAACCATGTATTGTGGGGTTGGTAAGAATACAGAAGTAAAATGGCATGACAATGACATAAAGGCCAGGAAAAGTTACGTAGAAGTTACTGTTCTTAGGGGGGTTGTTTGTTTGTTTGTTTGTTTGTTTAAAGAGAGGGGAAGGGAAGGATAACAAAAGAGAGAGAAACATCAATGCATGGTTGCCTTTTGCACACCCCTCACCAGGGACCTGGCCCACAACCCACACATGTGCCCTGACTGGAAGATGGACCAGCAGACCTTTGGATCACAGGCCAGTACTCAATCCACGGAGCCACACCAGTCAGGGCAGTTCTTAGGCTTTACACTACAAGTAAATGGGTATAATATTACTTGAAGACAGGCAGTGATAAGTTAAGCACATATACAATAAATTCCAAAGCAACCTCTAAGAGCAAAGAGTATAACTAATAAACTAGTAAAGGTGATAAAATTGATCATAAATAATCCACAATAAGCAGAAAAAGAGGGTCTAATTAAAAATGAGACAAATAGAAACCAATAGCATATCATATCAATATTCACATTACATATAACTGGTATAAAAATCCTAACTGAATTAAAGAGATTTTAAGATTGGATAAAAAATAGAACCCCTCATAGAGTTGAAATTCAGATGGCTCATAAACACACACAGCAGATCATTCTCCCTTTTAAAGATTTATGGCAGAAAAGCCAAGGTTTGCTAGGTAGTACTACATAACCTTTTAGTCCAGAACAGCTTAGAATACTGAAAGATATATTTGAAAAGACCAAGTACCCACATTGGGCTACCACAGCAAAATTTAACTTCAACAACTCAAATTGATGAGTTAGTAATAAAGACTTGGTTCAAGAACCAGCGCATCAAAAGGAGGAAGCAGCAGCTACAAATCTGGCCAAGTCTAGCACTAGAAGCACCTAACCAAATCATTTCAGTAAAGGAGAACTCTTTATCTGTAACTTCTACAAGCACTCATCCCATTAGTCCTGGCATTGTGAATGTCTATGATCATGAACCAACTAAAACTTCTTTTATTGAGCAACCTGGAGGGACTGGTGCCTAAGTGTGGAATGCATCATGGGATTCTCAGCCTCATGATCTCCAACAGATATGTTTGGGTGTCTGATCTTCCCTGGGCCTCCATTCCCTGTGACATAGATCAGTTTATACTCTGTATTACTAACCCGTGGATGATCAACCCAACAGTCTAGGTCAGTCCCTCTTCCCACAGTGTCCTGGTCAAGGGGGTATGGCTAGACTCATCTTAATTGTGATGGCTAACCCATCCACAGCTCTTGAAAAAGATCTGAGATCCAAATCCTGCCAAACTGAGAGACATTTCCAATCTGAAATGGGTCAACTCAATGTAAATAGACTAGTTATTTATCATTTTCTATAAGAAGAAATCCCTTTATCTTCAATCACTGCCTGAAATTTCTGTCCTCTGAGCCTCATTCTAGTATCAAGGGCAGTCATCAATGAATGCCTTAGGAGGAAGCAGAAGCCAGACAGTTTTCCTTGGGTCCTAATCTGTCCCAATTAAGCCTAGCACCATGAAAGCACCCCAGCTAAAGTCAATACCATGTAAAAATGCCTGTCCCCCAAGAATCAGCTTTATTTCTTTTTTTATTATTTATTTATTTATTTATTTATTTTTAGAAAGAGGGGAACGGAGGGAGAAAGAAAGGGAGAGAAACATCAATGTGGGAGAGAAACATTGATCTGATTGCCTCTCACACACCCCCAACTGGGGACCTGGCCTGCAACCCAAGCATGTTTCCTGACTGGGAATCAAACTGGCAACCTCTTGGTTCACAGTCTGGCCCACAGTCCACTGAGCCACACCAGCCAGAACCCATCTTTATGTCTCACACAAAGAAAGAAAGAAACAACAAACATTTAGGGGTATGACATCTGCAAGATCGGTAGACTAGAAGGTGCCAGCACTTGCACCTCCAGAAAAACAATGATTAATAGACACTACCTATGAAAATAGCTCTGAGAGAGCTGTGAAGTATAATGCAAGAGCTACAGCAACCCAGTGGAGCACAAAAATAAGAGATGGCAACATAGAAAAACATAGGCAACATTTTACCTGTGTCAACCCACCCCCATTCTCATACAGCTTGTCACCAAAAGGGATCCCCTCAGCTCTGACACTCCCCTTTGGAGGAAAAGGAAAGCAGAAGACTCCAGCAGCTTTTACCACCAGGGACCCAGGCAGCCCTCGTGGCTGTCAGGGACACTCCAAGTTTTGCCACTAAGGACTCCCTCAGTCTTTGCCTGTGCTAATCTCAGCTGATGGAGCTTCCCAGAATCCATGTCACTCAGCTTCCCAGAATCCATGTCACTGAGCACTCCAGAGAAGAACCAGTGATGTGACCCCAACCACAGCAGCCCTGGCCCAATGCATGACCACCCACACCCTCAATGGTTAGGTATAATAAATGGATATTGATGGGGTTCAAGCAAAGGTTTTAAGCAGGCCAAAAGGACTAAAGGGCCCCAAACAAGTCTGCTTTATTTATCCTGGTTTGTACACATTTTGAAAGCCAAGACTCAAAGATTACTAAAAAGATATCTGACCCACAGTTGCATCAAGCTATGATTAGAGAGATAAATGAAGATGAAGGTAGACAAAAGAACCAGGGTCCTTTGACTCAACCCCTCACTGGAGCCCAAAGCCTTTGCACCAGAGTAGGTAAAATGGTCAGGATGTGGAGAAGTTTCTAGACTTCTTGACATGAAAGCCCCACGAACTGTAGTACCCAAATCCATTGGTGAAGCCCTGGTGTGGACTACAATTAGACTGAGAGAATATAAAGGCTGTTCTCCCAACAAAAGTGTTGGTAGGATTATGAACATTAGGATGTTTAAACAGGTTTATACAAATAGCTTGTGTCATCTTTACCTGAATGTTTTTATGGGAATGGATATTCTATCTGGCTACACAATGCTTACCCTACCAAGTGTTGTAAACCAAAACTGGCTATTTATAAGGAAACCACTTGAAATACAAACATATACATGAAATAAGAGAAAATGATGAAAAAAGATGTACCATGCTAACCCTAATCAAAAGAAAGTTTGAAACAATAATTAAATTAAAAAATTTTAAAAAATTTTTAAAAGAAAGTTTGAATGGCTATATTAACATTAGAAAAAGTAGGGTTCAGAGCAAAGAATATTATCAGAAATTCAAAAAATACATTAAATAATAATAAAGAGCCAAAACCACTCGATAGAAGATCAGTAAAGAACATAGGGGACTCAACACTATCACCCACATTCTTGAACTGATATTCACAGAGAACTCTGCACCAACAATTTTCAACCTTTTCACCTCATGGCACATATAAACTAATTACTAAAATGCCACAGCACACCAAAAATATATTTTTGCTTACCTGACAAAAAATAGGTATAATTTTGATTCATTTATACTACACAGCTATTGTTATGTTGGCTGTTGTCAGGTTTTTTTTATTTGACAATCTAAGGAAGGGAAAAGAGGTCAGTGCCCCTGGCTCAATAGTCAGGTATTGCCTATTTTAAAAATTCTTGTGGCGTGCCAATGTGCTGTGGCACATCAGTTGAAAATCGCTGCTCTACATGATAACAACATAATACATTCTTTTCAGTAATCATGAAATATTTTTAAACACCATTGCAGCCATTAAAAAAATGCAGTAAAACTTAAAAAGTTGAAATCAGAAAAAGTATGATCTCAAACCACTATGGAATTCAATTAGAAATCAGTAACAGAAAAGTATCTTGAAAATCCTCCAAATACTTGAAAATAAATAGCACACTTCTAAATAGCACATGGGTCAGAGAAGAAATCACAATAGAAATTAGAAAGCATTTGAACAAAGTAAAAATGAAAATATAAGATATCAAAATGTGTGGGATGCACCAAAAGCAGTACCATGAGGGAAATGTGTAGTACTAAAATGCCTAGGTTAAGGAAGAAAAGTTCTCAAATCAATAACCTAAGCTTCTATGATAAAAAACTAGAAAGAAAAAGAAGACCAAATTAAGCCTAAAGACAGCAGAAGAAAAGCAATTAAAATGACAGCAGAAACCTATGAGCTGGAAAGCAATAAAAAATGCAGAAAATTAATGAAACCAAAACTTGTTTTCTTGAGATCGATAATATTTATAAACATCTAGCTACACTGATCAGGAAGAAAAGCCAAGAAGATACAAATTACAATTTAATAATAATAAGTAAAATATTACTATTGATACAAAGGACATTAAAAAGATAAGTCAAACCACAATGTGATACTAATTTGACACCTACTAAGATGGCTATAAACAAAAGACCAGAAAATAACAAGCATTGCTGAGGATGTGGGAAAATAGGCACCTTAATACATTACTGGTATAAATGTAAAATGATTCAAGCCTGGGGAAAGACTGTCGGTTCCTCAGAACATCAAACATAGAGTTACTATGTGACTCAGCAATTCCACTCCCAGGTATATGTCCAAAATAAATGAAGACAATGACTCAAATAGATATTTGATCACAGTATCACTATTCACAATAGCCAAAATGTGGAAACAACCCACATGTCCATCAACAGATGAATGAATACACAAATTGTAACATATCCATAAAATGGAATATTCTATGGCCATAAAAAGGAATCAAGTACTGATACACACTACAACTCAGATAAACCTTGACACATGATACTAATTGAAAGAATCCAGACATAAAAGGTCACCATAGTATATGATTCCATTTATATAAACATCCAAAATATGTAAATCCATAGAGATAAAAAGCAGATTAGTTGTCCAGAAGATGGGGGAAGGGAGAAACAGGGTGCGACTACTTAATGGATGTGGAGTGTTTGTTGGCATGATGGACAAATTTTTAAAATTCTGAAACTGAGTGGTAGTTGCACAATACTGAATACACTGAATGTCACTGAACTGTACACATTAAAATAATTCATTGCTCCCCAGCTGGTGTGGCACCATGGATTAAGTGCCAGCCTGTGAACCAAAGGGTCGCCAGTCAATCCCCAGTCAGGGAACATGCCTGGTTTACAGGCCAGATTCCCCAGTAGGGGGTGCTCAAGAGGCAACCACACATTGATGTTTCCCTTTCTCTGTCCCTTCCCACCTACAAATAAATAAATGAATGAATAATTGCACCTTATGTAAATTTTACTTCAATAAAAAAATATAACATAACAAAGATGTTAGAAATGTGCAAGATAGAGGCAGGAGGAACTGGATGATCTGATCCAAATGCCTTTATTTGATGCTGTGCTTATAGGTGAGCTGAGTCTGGACTGACTGCAGCCCTGGGGACAAGGGCGGGGAACTGGGGAGGCTAGACTGGTGTTTTTAAAAGATAAAGCACAGGATTTGTGAGGGGTCAGGGGAGAGGTTAGTCTCTTGCTCTTCTGGGTGGGTGCCTCAGGGTTTCAGGATATGAGCCAGAACAACAGGTCGGTAAAGAGCAGGACTGTTCCCAGGTACCGGAGGGTCAATATGACCACAGGCCATTGTGGCTGGTGCCAGATGTCTATTGTGCCTGGTGGGAGAGAGTTCTGATTAAGCCTGAGGCTATCAAATGAGTCAGAATAACTGAGTCATGGACAGTCCAGCGGGTTGGAAAACTGTCCTGACTGGGTCATGAGCAGTCTGGCAGATTGGGAAACTGGCCTGACTCTTTCAAAGGGAATGTTAGAAACTACTGTATGGCAATGAATTTAACAACTTCAATGAAACAAGTTCTTAGAAGAATCAAGCTATCAAAACTCACTCAAGAAGAATTAGATAACCCGATCTATATTCAAGAAATTGAATTCAAGCTAAAAACCCTCCCACCAAAAAAAGAGTCAACTGGATGGTTTCAATGGTGAATTTCACCAAATATTCAAGGGAGAATTAATACCAATTCTTTGCTAACTCATTCTGAAAACTGACTACAAGGGAACACTTCCCAACCCAATCTATGAAGCTAGCATTAACCTGATACCAAAACCACAAAAAGACATTGCATTAACACACCAACATTCCTCATAAATATAGATGTAAAAATTCTTAAATTTTAGCATATGAAATCCTACAGTATACAAAAAAAATCATGACAAAGTGGATTCCAACCAGAAATGCAACTGGTTTAATGCTTTTTTAAAAATCAATATAATTGATTTTTATATGGATGGCCATATAAACTGACTAAAAATGAAAAACTAAGTAAAAAATTATATGATAATCTCAATAGATGCCAAAAAAGCATTTGGCAAAATCAATATCAATCATGAAAAAAATCCTCAGTGAACTTTCTGAACCTGATGAAAGACCTCAGGTTAAAACACCCAGCTGACATCATTCATAAGGCTGTGAGACTGAATGCTTGCCCCCGAATCAGGAACAAAGCCACTTTAACAAATAATTCTTAGTATGATACCAAAGACATAATGTATGTAAGAGAAATATTTATAAGTTGAATGTCATCAAAATTTAAAACTTTTGATCTTCAAAAGACACTTATAAAAGTGAAAAGTCAAGCTACAAACTGGGAGAAAATATTCGCAAAACAAGTAACCCATAATAAAGGACAGTATCCAGAATATACAAAGAACTCTCAAAACTGGATAAGAAAATAACATAATTTTTTAAATGAGAAAAAATACTTCACCAAAGAAAACATGTGGATGGCAAATAAACCCACAAAAAGATGACCTAGCAGAGAAAGAGACAAGGCACTGAGGCCAACCAGAACCCAGTCCAGGAGCAGAGTGTGTAGGCCCAAAGGAGACACCCCCCCCATCCTGAATGCCATGGCAGAAGAAATCTATGATATGTAAACTTTCAACAGTAGGACACAGAAAGAAGAAATGGCCTCACTGTCTCCTCAGGGACAGGCAGACATGATGGGATCACTTGCTTCCAGCAGTTTGCAATGTGCTGACAGGAGAAAGTACAGGGCCCCTAAACATACATGGGGACCTGGGGTCAGAGCACCAGGCCTGTCAGGTGGCTCCAGGCAAGGTCTTCCTGGGGTTGGACCTGGTTCCTCTGCTCCTCTCTACACTGACCACACTCACTCCTTTAGGTGAGCCCACCTAGTCTATTGCTATAAATACTTCCTACCCTGATGATTCTCTAAAGTAATCTCCCCGACTCTGCCCTCTGCCCTGAGCTCCTATATCAACTGCCTACCTGACCAAGCCATCTGGATGTCTAGATCGAAACTTCAAGACCAAACCTGGCCCTCCAGAGGTCACCTTGCCTCAGTTATTCAGGCCCCTAGGAATCATCTAGGCCTTTTCACACTGCCTCTCTGACCCTTCTCCAGCAAGTTCTGCCTTAGCAGGGCCTCTGACCTCACCCTCCCACCAGCTCCCATCTTGGCCCACCATCTGCTCCCTTACAGACTCCAACCAGAGTCAGCTTCAGAGAACAGGAAGGTGGACCGGACCTCCTCAGGCACTAAAGATGTCATCCAAACCCTCGTGCTCCTTTTCCACCTCCACCCCTCTAAGGTCCCCTCACCTGGGTCTGCTCCAGCTATTGCTGCTGCAGCTGGGGACTCACTGTGCGAGCTCCCTCAGGCCACGGGCTCCATTGCCACCTCCTCAAAAGACCTCCCTGGACCACCTGCCAGGATCCCCCTCCCTTTTATCAGTCTTCCTATTCTAATCCATCTGTCATTCACTGTTTCATGTTTAAGCCATTTCCTTTTTGGGGAGTCCCCTGCCTCAACTCCTCACCCCCAAGTGAGCCACTTGGTGGCAGGAGCAATGTGTGTTCCCTACCACCCAACCAAGCCTAAAAGAGTGAGGAGGAGCTGAGTGGGAGGAGGGCCCTTGAAGCCTTTGGGACAGGTGCACACACAAAGAGACAAATGAACAGACAGGCAGCTGCAACAAGTGGGGGCCTGCACACTCTCCCTGGAGGTGGCCCTGAAGGAAAAGAAGCAGCTGTAAAAAAAAATGTGTGTCTACATCTGTGGCTCTCTGTCTCTTTTTTCAAAATCACAGAATAAAATAATAGGCAGGGGAAAAAATGAAGACATTGTACCCATCATAAGAGACTTGTAATTCAACTAATCACAAAAAAAAAACACCCAACCACAATTAGGACATGTCTGAATAAAAGTCCTCATCTGTTCAAGTTTACATGTCCCAGTTGAAAGCTGCTGCTGGCCACATGAGATACAGCCCAGATCCCAGTCTGTCCCATTGTCATCAGTTTGAACATGAAACCCTAGCATCATATATGTAACCCACACCCACAATGTAATTTTATCTTTGGAAAGACATTTAAAAAGTGCAGACCAGAAATGAGAAAATTAACAAGTAGAATTTTATTCCTTTTGTGGATTTAGCCAGAGATACAAAGAATAGTCATCCTCTTATTAAAACTACTATTTGTGATTTTTCTTTTACAAGCATGAGCACCCACCAGGAATGAATGCACTCCCTTCCTGAGGGACGGTTCTGTCTTTCCGCTGCCACTCTCAGGCCCAAGCAGCCCCCATGTTCCAGCAGTCTGAAAACCGTTGGCAAACAGATTTTCCTCTAAATCCCACTGAGGCCTCCATCCCAGTCCCAGCACCCCTGCCCTTGCCTCTTCTTCTTCCCATGGCCATGTACACATATCCACATATCCAACACCCCTGTCATCCTTTTGACACTGCTGATATTTTACATTAAAGCTTAAATGTTCATGTTCTGAAATGGGCTGTCCCACCTCATTGTTCAGGGGAGTGGGGCTGGGATCCTTCAGACTCCCCTTGGAGCAGCTCCTTCTAACATGAATTCTTGATTTCTGGGGCTCTTCTGTCAGGAGAGAACAAGCAAGCAGAGACCAGCAGTGAGTGGAGGCAGCAGCTGGGGGCTATTCCATAGGACGTTTAGCCTACCACTTCCAAAGACCACTTAATGAGGACTTGAGATAATACTGGCTGTTTCACGGTGGGACACACAAATGCAGCTCCTAGGCATCCACTCATAGGTTCCATTTTGCTAAACAGGAGCTCATGCTTTGACAGATCTCAGTGAAGAAAGAGCATACATTACTGTTTTTACCTAAAACTAAATAGGTCATTGCAAAGATCTGACTTCAGGAGGAATACAGTCTTGAGTCCAAATATCTCCAGATCTGAAAGACCAAGTTCCTCATTAACTCACCCCCTGCAGCAGAGCAAATTCAGAGTTCTGCAGTGCCAACCAGAAATTGTGGTTAACTAGAGTTTAAAAGAGCTTCATTCCAATCACAGAACCCACTAATGCAGTTACTGTTTTGAAGTAATTATACTCTTGGTGATGGTCTCAGCAGAAAAAAAACAAGGTAGCCAGAGCAGGGGGGTTGAACTTTTACTCCTCAACCTCAAAAAATACTGTCTGGACATCAATGCAGAGCAGTGACATACATAGTGGTGATGTAGGCAAGGAGACCAAGGAATGTAAACCCCGAAAGCCCCTTGCCTAACATTAGCCTGTGCAGCATGCCAGCTGTGCTCCCTGCCCTGGGACAGCAGGTCCTTCATCTTCCTACGCACCCTGGTGCAAGGTTCCTCCACTCTGAAGCTCACAGTTATGTGCACAGCAGCTGCCACATCCCGGGAGGGGCCATCGCTTGTTTCATTTCCTATTTAAAATATACCCTATTCCGTGTGTGTGAATAGAGATATGCATAACCATATTTCAATCCTTTTAAATTATACTGAACTTTGTTCACTATCAACTTCCAAAGTCAGTTTGGTCTCTCACCAGGGTATTGAAGTTGCCTAAAATATATCTACTAGACTTTCTAGATAATTCTCCAAATGAAAGTTTTTCAATCCATGACAAAGAATTAGCTCCACACACCCCCACCTGGACCTCCCCAAAAGCAAGCTGCCAAGCAGTGACAGGCTCTGGCAAGGACAGAAGGCCAGGTGCTCAGTCTCTGCTCCTTATAATGAGTATGTATCCTGCGATTGTAAAATTCATGCTTGCTCTTGGTATATAAGGCTTGGAAAGCACAGAAAAGTGCAAGAAATATATTTAAAAGCATCTCCAATGCCCAAAAAGAAGCAATGACAGCAGCAGAATGTATTTTCTTCTAGTTGTTTCTCATTATAACATTATCTATATATTTTTTAAAACAAAATGAGATAAACCCTATGTGCTTTCAAAACATTAAAATATATCCATGTTTTTGATATTTGTAGAAAATGTCCATTAACAGCCTTTTACTAATATGCATTGATATTCGAAATTTTCTATACAGAAACTTACCTATTATTTGAAATTGCTTGCATTGTTTTTATGCTTAGAAAAATGTTTCTATATGTGAAAAATCAGACTTTTTACCATACTTTTTCTATGAGTATAAAAATGACATACGTTCATTTTTAAAATTTTAGAAAACTCAAAAGTACATGCAAACAAATACTAGCAGTGATAGGAGCTCAAAGACATGGACACTGTGGACCTTTGGTTTGTACTTCCTTCAGGACTTGGTTTGTGTATAAAATACCAAAAAACACACCTGTATAACATGCATGCACAGGCACACACATATGGCTATGTTACACATCATGTAGACTATTTTTATGTGTATTTTGGCTTCATATGCTGGTGGATTTCTTCATCTCATGACTCATTCCTGTAAACACTAATGGCCACCTAATAATGGATTCTGCTGTAAGAGTACAGTCACTGACTTACTGAATCCCCTACTATTGTGTATCTGGGCTGCCTCCAATTGTTAATGATTTGAACTCATGATGTAATGAGCATTTTCTGTACATAAATTTAGTGGTTATCTGATTATTTCCTGAAGCTAAAGTCTACAGAATAGAATTTCCAGCCAAAATGACTGAGTACTTCTAAAGCTTCTGGTACAACAGGACTAAGAGCCCTCCAGAAGCTCATCTCCCTCCAGTCACAAAACGACAATGTGTGAGAGTTAGATCTCTGTGATTCCTTGCCAAACTCCTTATACTTTTATTTTTTTAAGTATATTTTTTGACTATGGTGTTAGAGTTGTCCTATTTTTTCTCCCCTTATCCCCCTCCCCTCTGCTGCCCCTTCCCTCCTGCGTTCCCCCCACCTTAGTTCATGTCCATGGGTTATACATATAAGTTCTTTGGCTTCTCCATTTCCTACACTATTCTTAATCTTCCCCTGTCTATTTTGTGCCTACCAATTTTGCTTCTTATTCCCTGTACCTTTCCCCCCATTCTCCTTCTCCCATTCCCCACTGATAACCTTCCATGTGATTTCCATTTCTGTGATTCTGTTCCTGTTCTAGTTGTTTGTTTCAAAGTTTTTGCTTTTGTTTTTTAGGTTCGGTTGTTGATAGTTGTGAGTTTGTTGTCACTTTCCTGTTCATAGTTTTTGATCTTCTTCTTTTCCTTAGATAAGTCCCTTTAACATTTCATATAATAAGGGCTTGGTGATGATGAACTCCTTCAGCTTTACCTTATCTACCCTTTCTTTCTAAATGATAGCTTTGCTGGATGGGGTAATCTTGGATCTAGGTCTTTGCCTTTCATGACTTGAATGAAATACTTCTTTCCAGCCCCTTCTTGCCTGTAAGGCTTCTTTTGAGAAATCAGCTGACAGTCTTATGGGAACTCCTTTGTAGGTAACTGTTTCTAAGAGTCTCTCCTTATCTTTAACCTTGGGTAATGTAATTATGATGTGCCTTACTGTGTTTCTTCTTGGGTCCAACTTCTTCGGGACTTTCTGAGCATCCTGGACTTGCATGTCTAGTTCTTTCACCAGATTGGGGAAGTTTTCCTTCATTATTTGTTCAAATAAGTTTTCAGTTTCTTGCTCTTCCTCTTCTCCTTCTGGCACTCCTATGATTCGGATGTTGGAATGTTTAAAATTGTTCCAGAGCAACCTCCTTATTATAAACCTTCTCAAAATATGCCAACAAGATGGTCCAAGAATGACAGGAATATATTCACTATAAACAGTCAGGCTGGTATCTTCTGACATTTGTCGGTATTTATGTTCCTTTTGTAAACTGCCTGCTCAGCATTCACCAGCAAAGTAACTAGATGAGAGTTAATGAAACACTGGAGAATTATAAAAAAGGAGGATGAAGAATTAATTTCTGGTCATAGTTTCAACTGTAAGTAAACATATTATAGAAAAGAACAAATTCAGGTGATTTTATATTAGAATAAAAGAATTTAATAGACCTAATAATAATCCAATTAAATTAGGAGAAAATCACTGTGAACTCAAGGCCATAAAAGGTTCATCTCCAGTTCTCTCACTAAAAGTGGCCACCACACTCACATGCAGCCTGAAGCCAAGATTTTAGCCTCTAACACTGCTTTTCACAAGAAGAAAAAGAAGTCCTTTGCCAAGTAGCTGTTTCTATGACTTGAGGCAGGAGAAAGCAGAGGACTGAAATACAGAGTTCTGACCAGAAAGCAAGGTACCTTTAAATGTCTGGGGCAGCACTGGGGCAGCAGCTGACAGGGTCCCAGGCCAACATGTGGGAAGCTCAGCATAAGAGAATCATTATTATACTTTATCTGTGATCATTATTCAGTCTAATCTGAAACAGGAGCTCAGGCTGAACTCAAGGTCCAAATCATTCTAGAACCTGTGACCAAGTTACCCAGCCTATCAACTAATGGCTCTGAAGTGCAAAGGCTCACCTGCTGATCTACTGTGCCCAGGTCATTTGCCCTCTTAGAAAGGTGCAGAGGTAAGTAAGCTTCTGTAAGAGAACTGCCTCACAAAGGGGAATGGTACTAGGTAAATTCATTAAAACTACAGTGCATATATATTTTGTAAGGTTTATGTCCAGTAAAAAATTCTGTAATCACTGCATTTCTGCTTGCTTTTACTGCTAATGTATTTAAAACAGTAATTTCTAATTTTGCTTAAATTGCTTTTAAATTAATTATTGTATATACATAACATACTGAGCCCTAAATAAAGTCCAAATAGTAGCAAATGTCCCTCTTTAGGTACAAAGTCCTCATAGATATTATGATCCTCCCATTTCCCACTGGCTTGTTTACCTTTCATGGTCAATCTGGTGATGCCCTCGCTACTAATCACTGTCTAGCATATGCCTCCACCTCTTCTACTAGCTTTTGATTTTGATAAGTGGTGATCTTCCCTACAGAAATTTTGAAATCTGGCATTCTTTTACTTTCCAGGTTTGGTGTCCTGATTAGAGAAGTTTAAGCAAAATCAATGACCTGAGTTTTCTGCCACCAGTTGTTCAGCTTTCCCTACCCACTCTGATAGTCCTCGGCTGTCTTTCCTCATGTCTCAATGTGGTGAATTTTATGGTTTGAAAATGATATGTCAAATCAGAAAATACACATAATAGGCATCTATATACTTACCATAAAGAATAAAGAGTTGTCACATTTTGCTTTATTTGGCTCAGGTCTCTACAAACAGCTCTTGCAGATGCAACTAAACCCCTATATACCCCAGGGATCACTTCTGCTTCCCTACAGGTAGGTAATGACATAATATAAAGATGGCACATCATCTTTCACAATCAGTGTTTACACCTTTCCTGGCTATATAACTATCCAACACCACCACAGTGTACCCATACTATTGAAATTTGGTTTTTTACAGTCAACATTGCTAATGAGATTTATGCATCTTGATACCCACGGATCTGATTCTTTCATTTCAGTGCTGAATGATTTTTTTTACTTTATCAATAGAACAAATGTCTAGGACCGTTTTACTGAGGCCAATTAGGTAGTTTCCACCAATTTACTACTACAAACACTGAAGGACCACATCCCTCAGACACTGAGTTCTAGAGAAAATGCCTGACAATGACATTGATGGGTTATATGATATGCATGTTACCAACTTTACTTACATAACCAAATTCATTTTCGAAGTGGTTATATCAGTCA